AAGCCAATAATAAACGTAACAATGAGCTACCTCAATTACTTTTCAAATCTAAATTTCAAATTATTCAAACGATCTATTAACAAACACATGTTTAATTCAAGATACTTGTCGAATTTTCTCGAACACACAATTTCTAATAATTTCGTCAAAAGCGATTCAAGGAAGAAATGTATGATAAGGATTATTCGTTTTTTTGTTAGTCATACGAACCGTTCAAGTGTTTTTCAGCAAGCCTGGCGATAACATCCCTCCGCTGCTTATAAAACCGTCTTATCCCCATGAAATGATTCATTATCCCGTCGTATCCCCATAATTTCATCAGCCTATACAGTATCACCTAAAAATAAAAAAACAGTGGTTAATCGTGAAGAAACCGTCCTCTGTTCGCGTTCGCGCCGCCGATAAGCGGCAATTTATGTTTACATTTGCGATAAGAACCGACACGCGCCACCGTTGGTATAGCAATGGGCGTGCGTCCAATCATTTTAGTCAATGGTCCAATGATAATTGCGCGAAGCGTGCGAGGCTCCTCATATTTTTCGCGCGGCTTTATCATTCCGGAGAAATAATATTTATGTCTGCACAATGATGCATAACCACCGACTGTATCTTTACGAAGCGTGCAGTGACATGCGTTTTATTGACCGTCGGAATGGTATCGATACATAATTTATACACACACACGTATACATCTATCTGCGTATTCATTGTCTTCGAACAATTGCAATGATTAATTCAATATTACGAATCTCGGGGATTGTTTCGTGTCAATATCATCAACCTTCAGCAAAAGTTCGAGAAGCGAATTATTTTCGTCGATTCACGAAAGAACGAAAGGCTCTGGGAAAGATTCGTCGGAGAGACGCTTATGTTTCGTTAGAATCGGAATCAATAAGTCGGCAAATAGAGTAAATTTGTCGAGCGATAACCCGGACGAAGGGTTGCGATTAATCTATCTATTGGCAAGTGATCGTTGAAAATTACGTTTGAATGATACCAAACGATCAGGATAACAATTGTAAATTTTTATGTCTTTTATGTTTCGTCCATATCGCAGTATCTTATCCATCTTCGATAAAATCACCATCGAGGGTGAAACTTGAATTTCGAGGACTGTACCATCGGCGGGGAAAGCTATTTATGGGGTGGAAAAAAGCAACCCTACCAACCTGGGATAACGTAGGGGCATGAAGGTGGCTGCTCTGCAAGTGGAGCTCTATGCTCGCTATCAGTGGAGCTGGTGCCGTGATGAATCCCAATCTGAGACCGCTACTGATCACTTTCGAAAACGAGTCCAGCCTAATGACTCTGCCCTCCGTGTCCAACGATAAGAACGATTTCGGTTCCACCTGTGTGTGCAATGCATTTCACATGTTATCAAAAACTGTCCACGGCCGACAATGGCAATTATTCGGACTATTATTTCAGGCAGTCGAACGTGGAATAACATTTAGTATGATTAATTTAGAAACTAAATGATATTTTGGGTAATTGGTCGGAACGATGATTGATATTCATTCGACGATTTTATGGTTTAAACTATTTTGTCACATGTTTCCAGAGAGATTGAAACGCTCTATGAATTTAAACCGGTCAAAGGAATTAGAATATTTCATAAACATTGTAAAATAATGTCTCGTTCATTTTTTTCTCTCGAGATATTACATATGATTTGTTTTTTTTCTTTTCTTTTTTTTTTTCAATCTTCGAAACGCGTCCGAGTTCCCGAATGTTTACGGATGCAAATCGCCGCAAATTTTTCTCCGTTAGTGTCAGCCGATAGCAGTTGACATAATTTTTCATGTTTACTAGTCTCGTCAATTATCAATTGATTTATATCATATGCCGTAATTTTTTTCGCTAGATAATCTCCAGAGCTGTTTTCCGAGCACTTTTATCGTCCGCTTAAACAATCCTTTTATTATTCTTTAACATCTTCGCGTCGTAAGGAAGGGAAGAATATTCTATTTCAAGAATCAAAAAATGAGAGAAGAAGACAAAAGATATAAAAACTGATGGGATAATATAGAAAAAGAAGAAAAGTATCACTTACGTCGTCAAAGTATATGAAGTGGTAAGGATCGTCGTCCAGAATCAAGAAGTTGTACTCGCACGCTAACCTGTATATCTCTTTCCGCCTTTCCAGCGGGATAATGATGCCTGTGGGATTCATCCCGGTCGGATTTATGTACATTATTTTGGGCATTTTCTTGCCAGACAGCTTTCTGTTCCTCAACGTTTCTCTTAGAATCTCTGTATCTACACCGTATTCGTCTTGAGGAATAAGGATTACTTCCGACAAACCCTGTAATCGGAAAAGCATTTTCCCTGATTCTGTTTTACCAACCACTGCCAGAGTGAAAATATTCTATATTCGTGAGAGTCGTGAGTGAGTGCATTTTGAAATCGTATCTATTATTTTTTATCAATACCTGGCATTGAATTGGAAGTGACGAACACTTGATGCGTAAAGGGATGTGTATTAAAAGAAAATTAAAAACATTAGACTTGTCAAAAAACATATTTGTTGAGTATCTTTTTGAATAATTTTATCTCTAAAATATATATATATATATATATATATATATATATATATATATATATAT